AGAACGAGGCATATTTCGTTTATACTGCACTTGTCTGAGGTTAGGTTTACCACAAGACCAGTGACTCCGACGGACATGGATGGACTCTTTTGTCTGTGAAGTGGTGAATAAACGGTTGTGAATATATGGAAGTCATATATTTGAACCAGCTCCCAGTTGGCTTGTTAGCTCAGTTGGTAGAGCACTATACCGGTATCGCAGAGGTCATGGGTTCAAATTCCGTACAGGCCTAAATTTGAAGATCGCTTTCATTCACGTTTTCACAATGTTCACGCAACGCTGTAGTTGATTTCTACAAATTTTGAAATCAAATCCTACTCAAGATGCTGGCTTACATTTTTTGGTTGTTTTCAAAATCTCGAAATCTGAATTCTGACCTTTACCCTCGGAAATCAACAGGCTCAAATGAGAAAGATTTCAGGGCGTATCTTAAGCCAAATTTTTCCAATACTTTTTATGAGCATTCTAAACAACACATAATTTCACGTCGTTCATTTCACCTTTTTTTTGTTGTTTTTTTACTTTTGTTTTGTTTGTTTTTTTTTAATTTGGTTGGATAAACTAAAATTGGGAAGGAGTCTCAACAATATTTAAAAATTATTGTGTATACCAAACCGAAAAAAATGTAGCAAATAGGTAAACTCAAACAATTTCCAATACACCTAAAGTGTTGAAAAAACAAAATAAAAAATAAAAGCAAAATTGTTTCTAGATTCTTCTACTCCTCCCAAGTTGGAGCGAGGTAACCCCTAAAGTCAAGGAACGAGCCTTTTTCTCCTTTTTTCCGGACTGTTCTGTAATTGCTACAATTTCAGCTCACCTGCATTTGTCATGGCGCTATTTGATTTACCTCTTTGCAAAGAGCATACGTTTTCTCCAAGAAAAGATGTATCTTCCAAAATTTACCTCACTCATAACGTGTGGCTTTGTAGCTCAGTTTGCAGCATCGCCCAATTAGTATCTCGAATCCCGTCCGAGCCTGAATTGCTTTTTAGTCAACTTTTCTGCAATTGGTAAAATTGCAGCTCACCTGCGAGGATCATGTATTTATTTGATTTTAATCCGCAAGTCAAAAGAAACTCATTTCATCACAAATACATCATATCGAAAAGTCGCGCAGTAAAATGAGCCTTCGTTTCGACAATAAAATGTTTCTAAATGTTTTGTTATACGCACTTAAGAAAAAACATTTGAAGGACAATGACCAGAATATAACTGAAGCAAATATTCAGGGGCTATGAAGCGTCCTATAAAAGTAAATAGGCATAAGGGCGGAAGAGTTGACATTTACTTCCGTAGCTCAGTTGGTAGTAATATTCTGAGAGGCCTGGGTTCAAATCCCGTCCGAGCCTGAATTTTTCTTAGTCTTCCTTTTCTGCAATTACATCGGCAGCTCCAAAAAAAATAATTTTTTACAAATACACAGCTTAAACTTGCGCAAAGAAGAGAACCTTTGTTTTGACACTATGCTGTTTGTAAATGATTGAAGTGTAATAAACAAAATATCCCCTGTTTCACCTAACCATGTGTTCTCCAAGTGGAAAGGGAGAGGTGGGATTGTTTATTTTGAGCAGTCATTGTATGAAAAAAGTCCGAATTGATTATTTTTTCCTGATAATTGCTTACGTTAGGGGAAAGGCTCCATGAAAGGTGAATTTAAATGGGATCAGTAACGATTGAAATCGGATTTTCAATGCAGCCGATCGCATGGGCCAGTCAGGGCAATTAATATTTAGAACCGAGTTTTGGTAAATACGCGATGTGATTTGTTAGATTTTGATCTGAATATTACGAACAAATAATATGTTCTTAAAGTGGGAGGGGGGAGTGGGAAGGAGGAGGTTGGAATTTGTTGATTTTGCTATTCTTGTTAACTTCAAATTTCTTTTAGACTGGCTGAGTTTTGAACTCTCCATCTTTCAGTAAATTGCGTTTCTCTGAACCCTTTTTGAAGCTTGTGGGATTAACAAAATTTTAATAGAAACTGAATCCGACTTCCACTAATAACAACGGCGATGGGGTTTCTATTAAAATTTGAAACGGGGTCTTGGCAAATATGCCATTTGGGATATAGGATTTGGATCCTGCCTTTATGAGCTGTAAACTGGCCCCTCTGCAACGCATGGACTTAAGGGCAATTAAAATTTGAAACCAAGATTTAGTAAGTACGTGAGCTGAGATATTGGATTTGAGTCCCAAAATTACAAATTGCTATAGTTTACACGTGTGACTGGGTCTGTATAAGCTTCTTAAAAATAAGTCTCTTCGAATAAGCAATAAACGTTGTTTACTTACAGTTCAATCAACTTGGTGTTGTAGTTGAAGACTCCACGTGGTAGCTCTGTTATCTGATTGTCATGTAAATGCCTACGTAAACGATATTAAGAAAGACAATAAAGCAAATTAATCATCTCATGAAGTTTTAAGACTTACAGAGTTTGCAAAGTACATCTGTAGGAATAGAAATTAACTCTTAACTTCTTTCCAGACACCTCTTCTACTGAGACCCTTGGAATTTCAGCCAAATCCCTCGAGACCTTAGTTACCGGTCATCATTTATCGCTTAAGTGGTCGGAAGGGAAGAGTCAAAGGATTTGGTTTAAAATTGCAGCTCGCCTGCGAGAATGGTGCCTTTCTTTACATTTACATCGGCAGCTCCAAAGAAATTAATTTTTTTTAAAAAAATACACAGCCTAAACTTGCGCAAAGAAGAGAACCTTAGTTTTGACATAATACTGTTTGTAGATGATTCAAGTTTAATAGACAAAATATCTCTTTTTGACCTAACAGTGCGTTCTCAAAGTGGGAGGGGGAAGGCGGGAATGTTGATTTTGAGTATTCATTGTATGGAAAAAAAGTCCGAATTGATTATTTTTTCTTTATGATTGCTTGCGTTAGGGAAAGGCTTTATGAAAGGTGAATTTTAACTCGAAGGCGCGTTATACATAGGTTGGCTACTCCCCTTTGTTTCAGCTCAAATGCAAAAATCATCCAATATGGCGACTAAAGTTCCCACCATGAGTGAAACGGTCTGCTTAGAAGACACACTTTAAGTGTTTTTTTGTGTCCATAAATTAGAAGATATTGCGACTTGTTGACTCTCATTCCCATAATTGGGCTCATTTTGATATTAATTGGCACAAATTTATCGTTCGGCCGCTCAGAGCGCTATCTGCGGTCGACGAGACATTCGCACAGTTGTCTTTTCAAAATTTGTTCCGTGTAACTTCGGCTCATGTCCCAAGCCCCTAATACACACTGGTTCTTCGAGCCTTCAGATTATTCCCATTGAAACTAGCGGATTCATGACACATTCTATGCGCAATACTCAGACTATTGTTATCTGTGACAACCAAAGTATGGATGATTTCACAAGTAAGTGCGATTTTGAGACAGAATTTCACAACTCTAGTTCAGTTTGGGGAAAAGTCTTGGCTGTCGCTACTCGAAAGATATATTTATTGGGAAATTTATTCGTTATGGCTGAGGGAAATAAGCCATCTGTACCCAAGAAAAAGCGTCCAACGGATCGAGGTCCTCAGTTCTCGTTCAACATAAAAGTTCCTCGAACTCAGGAGAGCAGACTTCTCGGCATCAAAGACCGCCTAAAGATGGCCAAAGGCTCGTTGAATCTTACAAAAGCGACGACAAGCACACAGAATGCAGATTTGATGGAAGCTCTTCTGTTAGCTCTTGAGGAGAAAATTGAGAGGAAACGACTGACATCGAGCGACTGAGCTTATCATCAACGGGAAGTCCGAACCCATCTCTTCTTTCTACACCATCCATAACTGCACGGTTTTCAATTCTTTCAGCTTTTCCCACTCCATCTTTGCGTATTCCTTTGCCTTTTGCTGATCCTTTTTCTCCAATTTCTCCTCCACAAGCAGAACGTACGTCACAAATAATGCAAATCACTGCATCTTCAGTAGAGAACGACTCCATATATCTCTGCAATAAAGAATCTCTGCGAACTCTGTTTTTTTTTTCTCTAATACGCTAACGACATCATGTTGTTATTGTGGAAGAACCCTTCGATTGCGAGTCACTTGTCTTCAGTCGACAGAGTCGTGTAGTGTCGGTGACAGTTTCATGTGTTGGTGGAGATTCTTTCAAGTGGCTCTCCTCCCCTATTATGGGAGTATCTCCTCTAAAGTACTATGTAAATTTGAGGTGAGCACTCTTTTATTTTTGCTTGAAATTTACTGAAATTTGTTATCTCGGTATTTTACAGTTTTTGTTTTTTGTAACTGGTCACTTCTCTGTCTCTTTTTTTATAGATTGATTCATGGAGTATTGTCCTGTGGCTTGACAGAGACAGAATACACAAGTTTCTGTCAAGCAGCCAACAGTCAACGGTCAGAGGGAGAAAAGTCCACCGACACAGGTTAGCAATGCACATGCGCAGATGCTCTGAAAATCATGTAGTCTTTCTCCTTGCAAGGAGAAGGCAGTCAACAGCAGTTTGCAGGTTGCTAAATCATTAATGTTCCACCAAGATAGCTCAAACTGACTGAACTGTTCCTTCTTTGGTTTGTGCCTTACCAGATGCAATTCTAAAATACTTCTATTTTTAATCACTTCTACAGTCTTGAAAAAGCTCAGTTACTTGACAGTCATGAAGAGGGTCTCCAATGAGTCGATGATGGCTACTCAAGAACAAGTGAAGAGTAACCCTGCATATGCTGTGAATGGAGAGGTACAAGTTGTCATTTTAATTTCATTTTGTCTTTGGCCACATACTTATACGCCTGCCATACTTGGAATATATTATGTAGACTGGCACATACAAAAATATAAAATCTTATATCAGATTGTAAACCTTGAAAATATCTGTGAGTAGAGAAATGTGATCATTTCTATGTTTTGATTTCTACCATTTCTTCCTGCAGTGAGTTATAACAGATGCAAGGCATGATTCCAGTCGATCAACAGCACACACAACAGTGTCAGCCCTTTCTTTCTGGTAAGATGGTTTCTACTTGATCTCTTTGTATGATATGTTGAACCTCTGCTATGTTCAACACAAGGTGTTAGCAGTTGTCAACTGGAGTAGGGCCAATGAAACTTCAGCAGTAAGCTGTGAGGTCCCTATGACAAAAGAGCTGCTGACTTATCTCTCTGAGACACAAGGTATGATAAATTTGCATCCTCAATAATATCACATCGCATATGTAATACAAATATGGAGGTCAGAAGTATCTTTTATAATGCAGCTAAAGTAATTCTTTTTTCAGGTTTCCATGTTGCAGAGGTGGCATATGACTTTGTATTACAGCTAAAAACATGGATCTTGTCAAAAGGAATGCTTAATTCCTTTGACTCTTGGCATGGTACTCAGTACACACTTGTATTTTTTGGCTCATTTTGTCTTGATGATTATGACTATTTCTTGAAAGTTAGCATTTTATTGTTATTAATATTTTTTTGTTTATTTTCAAGTGCAAAGTCTGTGACTAAAGCAATGAAGGAAGTTGCCTCAGGGGCCCAGAGGGATGAGGGCTCAAAGTGGTTTTTTGAATTGTTAGACAAAGGTAAGATATCTCGCTTATGAGAGTCATCAAAAGCTATATTCTCTCCACAATTACCTGCAGATGTCAAATTCCTTCTTGATATAAGATGACTATAATGGAATATAATAATTCTGAATATTTTACAGTGAAAAGTACAAGGACTCTTGTATACTTCTGCATGAAGAACAGTCCACCCAATGAAGAAGAATTTCAGGGTACACTGTTGAATGTAGTTGACCATTACCAGGTAATTTGAGTGACTGTTTATTGAGACCATAGTATTTTGTTTTCATTTCTGTTAGTACCTTTTGTTGTGTTATTCTAGTAAGATATGACATGATCATTGCCTCAAAGATTGCACATATTTCTTTAATAATGGTGAACAAGAGACATTATACTTACTTTTATTATTACTACTGATTTATTAATCTATTTTTCTATAACTTGGTGTATTTATTACTCAGGGAAATCATGTCAGATGCCATGCGGAGTCACGGTGCAAGCAGAATGGCTATGTGATGAGCAAAAAACTTTTAACTAAACCTGAAGTAGTAGCTGCATGCAGGAAAGCCATTATGGGCACCTCAATTTATAGGCATGCATCGGACTACATGCGGGTAATTAATTGACAAATGCTGTATGTTTGTTTCTTTGCATAAAGAAGTTCATCTCTTCTTCCAAATTAGTGATGTTGATGTAAGTGCCATACATGAGTTGAACAAATTCATTTTCCAGCTAAAGAAAAATCACCCATAATTTGTTGCCTTCTTCAGTGCAGGGAAACATATTGGATTGAGTCTCTTCATTCATTGATGCTCATTTATGCTGCAAAGCGGATTCATTATGGGGATGACACATACAACATGTGCATGGAGTTAGCCATTCTTGATTGGGTAAGAAACTTATGTTGTTAATTCTGCTCAATTACTTTGGCACTTTTTGAATTCACTGCCTTCTCTTGCTCATTGACTCATTTGTCTTACAGAATGAAAATGTGAATCGAGAAGCATCGTCTCTACAGATGTACCAACATACCAGGCATCCAAACCGCTTGGCAGAGACCAGGGTGCTTACTTCAAAGACATTTAATTTCAGAGAAACTATCTGGTCTACCTTTTTTAATATAAACAAATGATGTCTCTTCTGTTTTCCATTGCACCACAGTTTCTGTGATAATTACAACTAGGAGCCCAAATGTTCAGTATTAATAGGTGAGGTCATTAGGGAGGACCAATTCTAACAACTGGTGATACCAAGCAATGAAAACATGAATATTAGGTTTGACTCAAGGTATTTCCAAGCAGACTCATTCTCTGTTTCCTCCTGTTACTTTTCTTTGCACTGTATATCTTTTCCTAACCTATAGGAAAGTCTCTATAATTTGCTGTGTGGACATTGTAAAATGGACCATAAAACAAAAAATTGGGTACTTGGGCTCTCTTTGAGGTGGGCATTTGTCTGAGAATTTTATTATTCCCTTTTATGCCCCATGTAGGCAATACCAGGAGGGTTAGGAAACCTTGAGCTCACATTTGTTATAACACAATTGGACATCCTTTCCCGCACTACATTAACGTGGTCCCCAAGTTCGACTTTTCTAGCCTGGTAAAGAGGGTCTTTCCAGAGCCCACATTTGTTCAATGCTCTCCAGTACGTCTTCTAATCTTTTCTACGTCGCACGTGATTTTGAATATGTGCTTCGCGATAGCCAAGGTATTCGCGACTGTCGGTCGTTACACATGGCGTTTGCCAACAGTAAATACACATTTCGAACTCGTCCCCTCTTGCATCAGCTATTGTAGAGACAAGGTGAAATACCTGTTAGAGCGAAAGCGCAACTGAACGGTCATGAAGTCTGATATGATCGTACAACTAGTCTTCCCGCCTACATTTTATTTTGGACAATTTTTTTATGTACATTTTTCATGTTTAATTGACACGTATGCCCATGGTGTAGCGTAAAATATTGCAATAAATTTAACTTGTAGTTCTAAAGAAATAACTCCTTTCAAAATATTCTTAGGCAGGACAAAACATTCTTAGGCGGGACAAAACATTCTTAGGCAGGACAAAACATTCTTATGCAGGACAAAACATTCTTAGGCAGGACAAAACATTCTTAGGCAGGACAAAACATTCTTATGCAGGACAAAACATTCTTATGCGGGACAAAACATTCTTATGGGGGACAAAACATTCTTATGCGGGACAAAACATTCTTAGGCAGGACAAAACATTCTTATGCAGGACAAAACATTCTTAGGCAGGACAAAACATTCTTATGGAGGTCAAAACATTCTTATGCAGGACAAAACATTCTTAGGCGGGACAAAACATTCTTTGGCAGGTCAAAACATTCTTATGCAGGACAAAACATTCTTAGGCAGGACAAAACATTCTTAGGCAGGACAAAACATTCTTATGCAGGACAAAACATTCTTATGCAGGACAAAACATTCTTATGCAGGACAAAACATTCTTATGCAGGACAAAACATTCTTATGCAGGACAAAACATTCTTAGGCAGGACAAAACATTCTTATGCAGGACAAAACATTCTTATGCAGGACAAAACATTCTTAGGCAGGACAAAACATTCTTAGGCAGGACAAAACATTCTTATGCAGGACAAAACATTCTTAGGGAGGACAAAACACTCTTAGGCAGGACAAAACATTCTTATGCAGGACAAAACATTCTTAGGCAGGACAAAACATTCTTATGCAGGACAAAACATTCTTATGCAGGACAAAACATTCTTATGCAGGACAAAACATTCTTAGGCAGGACAAAACATTCTTATGCAGGACAAAACATTCTTAGGGAGGACAAAACATTCTTATGCAGGCCAAAACATTCTTAGGGAGGACAAAACATTCTTAGGGAGGACAAAACATTCTTATGCAGGACAAAACATTCTTAGGCAGGACAAAATATTCTTATGCAGGACAAAACATTCTTATGCAGGACAAAACATTCTTATGCAGGACAAAACATTCTTATGCAGGACAAAACATTCTTAGGGAGGACAAAACATTCTTAGGGAGGACAAAACATTCTTAGGCAGGACAAAACATTCTTATGCAGGACAAAACATTCTTAGGCAGGACAAAACATTCTTATACAGGACAAAACATTCTTATGCAGGACAAAACATTCTTAGGGAGGACAAAACATTCTTATGCAGGACAAAACATTCTTAGGCAGGACAAAACATTCTTAGGGAGGATGAAATATTCTTATGCAGGACAAAACATTCTTAGGCAGGACAAAACATTCTTAGGGAGGACAAAACATTCTTATACAGGACAAAACATTCTTATACAGGACAAAACATTCTTATACAGGACAAAATATTCTTATGCAGGATAAAACATTCTTATGCGGGACAAAACATTCATAGGGAGGACAAAATATTCTTATGCAGGACAAAACATTCTTATGCAGGACAAAACATTCTTTGGGAGGACAAAACATTCTTATACAGGACAAAAAATTCTTAGGCAGGACAAAACATTCTTAGGCAGGACAAAACATTCTTATGCAGGACAAAACATTCTTATGCAGGACAAAACATTCTTATGCAGGACAAAACATTCTTAGGCGGGACAAAACATTCTTAGGCGGGACAAACATTCTTAGGCGGGACAAACATTCTTAGGCGGGACAAAACATTCTTAGGCGGGACAAAACATTCTTATGCAGGACAAAACATTCTTATGCAGGACAAAACATTCTTATGCAGGACAAAACATTCTTATGCAGGACAAAACATTCTTAGGCAGGTCAAAACATTCTTAGGCAGGACAAAACATTCTTAGGCAGGACAAAACATTCTTATGCAGGACAAAACATTCTTATGCAGGACAAAACATTCTTAGGGAGGACAAAACATTCTTAGGCGGGACAAAACATTCTTAGGCAGGACAAAACATTCTTAGGCGGGACAAAACATTCTTATGCAGGACAAAACATTCTTATGCGGGACAAAACATTCTTAGGCGGGACAAAACATTCTTAGGGAGGACAAAACATTCTTATGCAGGACAAAACATTCTTATGCGGGACAAAACATTCTTAGGCGGGACAAAACATTCTTATGCAGGACAAAACATTCTTAGGCAGGACAAAACATTCTTAGGCAGGACAAAACATTCTTAGGCAGGACAAAACATTCTTATGTAGGACAAAACATTCTTATGCAGGACAAAACATTCTTAGGCAGGACAAAACATTCTTAGGCAGGACAAAACATTCTTAGGCGGGACAAAACATTCTTATGCAGGACAAAACATTCTTATGCAGGACAAAACATTCTTATGCGGGACAAAACATTCTTATGCAGGACAAAACATTCTTATGCAGGACAAAACATTCTTATGCAGGACAAAACATTCTTAGGCAGGACAAAACATTCTTAGGCAGGACAAAACATTCTTATGCAGGACAAAACATTCTTAGGCAGGACAAAACGTTTCGTAGGTGTCACGCAAGGCTGCATTTCGGAAAATGAAGGCATCAAAAGGAAGCAGTGTTAGACATGAACTGTCGCATCATACGAAAAAAATCTGTGGTTTGCAAGTATATTCTAACTAGTATTTCCTAGTTCGAAAAAAATCTGCAATTAGTCACCTCTGGAAAATTATTGCGTTACGCGAGTGTTTCAATCTTGGTGATACATTATCACAGTGATTAGGGAACTTAAGCAATGGACGTTTTCGGGGCGACGGCGACTTAGACCGGAAGTTAAATCATGACCCGTGCATTACTGCGCCTGATTTAGCCAACTTCCCAGCCGTCGCAGGGACGTCGACGACGTGAAGAGCGGGTGTTTGCCGTTGTGGTGAAAACGTAAGTGTTAGCTTTCTGTTTTGGTCATTTTTGTGACCTCTAACAAATGCTATTTTTCGAAATCTTACTTTTGATTTCATTGTTAATATACAGGTGACTTTTTAGCTCGATTTAACGGTTCTTTTTTGCCTTAAATTCGTCCTAACTTGTGAGTTACTCTTCTTTGTAGCTAAACGCATATAATGGCCAACTCAACAAGCACAAAATCGTAAGTGAGAATAATAATTGAATCTGTCTGTAGATTTGTACAAAAATATTCAGCCAGGGTGTACTTTGAACTCATTTCTTTGACCATTTCTTTTTATTTTCAGCGGGAAAACAGTAGTTTACAGCGAATTGCGATAGTTCACTTCTCTACTAATCCTGAAAGGTTTAGCTATAAGTATAAACATGTAAACATGTTACAACTGCTTGGTCTCGCTAATTTCACGAGAATGTTATTTTAATACAATTCAGTAAAAGATCATTTTTAAAAACCTTTGGAAAGCGAGTTATATTTTCTTGAGAAATCAGTGCCTCCAATAAACTGAACTTTTTTTTAAACGGACATTTATGATTTGAGGGAGCTTTCCAAAGTACACAGCTGGATATTGAATTGTCTTTTTATGACAAATGTTTTTTTTTTACGGTCGAACCAGCCCAAGACTCCATGAATGGATCGATTATTTGTATAAACTTTCTAGCTTTCGTTAGTCAGATTTCGAAATTCAGTATTCATGCATGCGTAATAAACAGCTAATTTGTGTCAAATTAAGAATTAAGAATTCGATATTACTGAATCTGTTGGAACTTTCTCCATTCAAAAGTTTGAAAGATTTTTCAATCTAACGAAATTCTGAGATGCTGTAGTTTCTAAAATTCATTGCTAACTACGCATGCAGGAATGCTGAATTTTAATTCTTACATCACAAAAATATGCAAATGATCTGACCATAAATGGTTGCTATGGGTTTATTCTTGTCCTCGTTCAACTGAAAAATAGCTTTTCATGTCTAGTGTTAGAACTTTTACAATAATTGTTGTAAGGTAAAATTTGTATGTCTCATGGACAACCAGACAATTGCACCAGAATTTTAAATTAGCCTGTTTCTGTTCTCTGTTGCATGTGCTGCTATCAATCACAAATAAACAAAACAATCTTTTTTTGTCTTAATGTTACCTAGAACAGTGATGGAATGGACAAAGCAGCATGACAAGGCTCTTCTGGGTGAAATGACAATCAGTGATCTTTTTCAGTACAAGAAGGGCACTCCAGAAAGGGGTCAATTATGGGATTCTATTGCTGGTAATTTAAATGCAATGGATTACCCAAAGTTTAAAGTTGCAAAACGGTCATGTCGCGATCGTTGGACACTGTTACGCACAAAGTATAAAAGAAGGATGTCAGAAGAAATCCAAGCAACTGGAATAGATGCTGAGGTTGGAGAACTTGATGAGATCATTGAAGATCTTATTGGAAAAGAAGATGCTGCTATTGACAGTGATAAAGAAGGAAAGAAGAAAGCTGAAGCTGATAAAAAGGCAGCAGAAGAAATACGGATTAAGGCTATGGAACGGTTTGGAAACACCAGAAAAAGAGGTGGAGAGGATGGAGAGGAAGGAGCCAAAAATAAAAAAAAGGAGAAGTGGCAGTGATGCAGTAGAATTTCTCAGAGAAAAAGCAAAGTTAGAACATTCTCTGAGAGAGGAAGAGCTACAGTTAAGGAAAGATCAACAAAGCCAAACACTGGTGATATTACAGCAACAACAGCAGATGAATCAAGCATTACTCACCCTCATGGAAAAAATGTTGCCTAAAGAGAGGAATTAACTGTTAATTAATGTAACTTAATTTGTTGTTGTTAGCCAATGGTGTCTTTTTGAATGGCACTTTGCAGAGAGAGATTTGAATTTATGTTCATTAACTTTCATAGGACAATGGCATTTATGAAAGAAATGTTTACATTTTCATGTTATAATCATTTGAATTTGCTTATTATGATAAATGCCTCTTGGAAACTTTGGTGGCTTCTCATTCATGCAGAAGCTGGTACGAAAAAAGACAAAAAAGGCTTAAACATTTTGTTGTTAATTTATTGGTTAAAATTATTGGACTGTACATGTTGAATATATGTTTATAACAAGTGTCTGAAATTTTGTGCCTCACAAACTCTGCTACACCCAACAACCCTTGACCATGATAGGTTTATATGCATTTTTTTTTTAAATCAGCTGATTGGGAGGGGCTGCTCCTCAGATTTCAAAAGGTAATGTCCAAGTTATTGCATTCCATAACTGTTTCAAATTATAAAATTTCATAAGAAGATAAAGTTCTCTTTTCTTCAACATATCAGCTATGCAAAATAGTCTTGCAGGGTGGGGGGCTCAAGGTCAAAAAATGTTGCAGTATTGTTGCCGTACAAGCAACTCAAAGCATTTTGCAGAAGTGCACAAACAATGTACATCTTTCCAATGCTGCTCATTCCTATCTTGAGATTCTTTTTAAAATCCATGAACTTGAAATATTCTATGATATCTCCAAATAACCACTCTACAGACACCCTTACTGAACTCATTGAACTGTTGTATGCTTCCATCAAGGGAGTAAGGTGGGGGTTCCGGAATGGCCCCTGAAGATGGACTCTTAGGGGGTAAGCAGGGTCGCTGAGTAGGCATAGGCTTCCAGGTTGTGAAGTAGCCCAGAATCATGCAACATCCCTGCATCATGCCTCCTACCCTCTAAAGTAAAGAAAAAAAAAGTAATAAACTTAAGGTATTTTTTATATAGTTCAACCTATAGCTTCCTAATTTCAATATACAGCAACAGAAGTGATAGTAGTGATCTTTTGTTCTTACATTTGCTCCAAACTTCTAAGATCAAGCAGTACTTTTTATATACTGCCATATATAGGCAAATGACTTTTCATTAAATTTTAGCCATGTCCTTTAAAAACTGCATCGGGTTATTCAAATCAATGCTACCCCTATTTTTGCAAACAGTATTAAAGTAATATTGTTCAATGGCACTTACCCACAGGGCCAAACATATTGGCAATGAGCCCATTAGGTATGGCAACCGACTGAAACTTGAGAGCATGTACTCTCTTGTGCCCATTGTAAACGATTCTCTGCATATCTCCTGGTTTGGAGATCGGTCGTACGGTACCATCAACAAAGCCAAAACAGTTGTCTAGAGCTGCTCCTTTTTCTGTGATGACAGTGGCATATTGTTCAAGCAATCTGGGATTCAGTATAGTGTCATTCCACTGAGTGATTCGGTGGCCATGTGCATCATAGATAAAATCCATGACTCGGTTTGTGATCATGCACAGTTCAGGAACAGGTCTTCCAAAACGCGCGATCATATCGCTGTAACGACAAGGATAAGCTAACCGTTTTAGTAGCATACACAGTCCTTCCATTCCATCGCATATAGTCCTCTGTGGGCATTTGAAAGTGGGTGGAATCCCGAGTACTTCTCTTAGTGTAGGAAGATCTCTTTTCTCTACGCGAAATTCTGCTTTGCATTCGGCTTCATCTATGTTTTCGAGGTCGAACGGACCATAACTGTCCCAAGGAAAATCTGGGTTGCTTGACTGATTGTTTTCCCATAAAACGAGAAATTCATCATCGGAAAGTAAATTTTCAGCTTAACACAGCAGTGTTAATTCTCTCGTTTCTTTAAAAGAAGTCATTTTTTTCTTTGGAAAGCCACTCCGTCGCCGTCTGAATGAACTTGCCGCTTAAACAGTTGAATTTGGCGGGAGGCGACGGCTACATCGGTCCCAGCTTCCCTCTGTCACTCCAGTCGGCGTCGCCCCGAAAACTTCCGTTGCTTAAGTTCTCTATTGTTGGTATCGAACTGTAGTCCTAAGTTACCTTTCTAATGTATTGTTCCAAAGGTTAAAGGTCATTCAGTACTTTTCTAATCATATTATACTTAGATTAAAAAAAAAAAAGAAAAAGAAATCGCACCATTTGTGGAGGAAGCCCGTACAGATGATTCATTTGGCGACATCGATGCCTGGACATGTCCAAGTGAATCGGTGGTTGGCGGCGGTTCACTCGCGCGCTCCAGAACTTCGCCTGCAATGGTCGCTCTGCTTTTATTTTTCTTCCGTTGGGTTAACAGCACTTCCCCTTCGCATTATTTAAGAAATGCCTTGAACATTCCTTCATCTTTTCTTTTTATTCTAACGGTCATCTACATCCAGTATTTAAGAACAGACATGAAATTACGCCATGGCAATTTTAGGCGACGGCGAAGCGAATCATTTCGAGTTTCAAATTTACCGCCACAAATGAAGAAGGTTTCGATCGGAGGAAGGTAATACAAACCTCAAAAAATTCTTCCATTGTGATGAAAACGTAGAAATTTTTACCGAGAAATGCGCCTCTGGTCAGTGCCTTGCATTGGCTGCAGCTCAGGCTGTTTTGGAGTTCTGTATGCCACGACGGTTGATTGACAAATGATTCAGAGGTACTAAGGCACCTCTCCTTTCATGGCGCGCCTTCGTGTAACGATTGAAATCGGATTTCTGGTTAATTATACTTTGAGTTGATAGTAAAGGTAAACTTTTTCAGAATGTTTTGGGATTGATATTATTACTTCGGATTGGGTGACGATATAGTCGCAGTAAATTAGATTAACGTAACGCAATGTGCATCCATACCACCATTTTCCTTTTTAAACAGTGGGATTTATAATAATCTAAATGGGATTTCTATTAACATTTGAAACTGTGTTTTTGAACATGTGCAAGTTGGGATATAGGATTTGAATCCTGCCACCTCAATCTTAACAATTTTAATGCTTCAAGGGTGTGATGGAATCTCTATTAGTCCCTTACAAATATGTGTTATGCAACACGAAAATGATGTTTTTCCACTAACAACTCTTGCAGCCTGACAAAAGGAGTAGTCAATTACCACGCAATTTCTTGATGTTGCTTTTGTGTAAAAATTTATAGCTATTTTAATACTTTTTCCTAAGAACAACTCATTGTAACCAGTCAGAGAGTTGTGCTTGCATATGCAAACAAAATAGATGCCCGAAAAAATGCGGAATTGGTCACCAGCGATAGTTAAGAAATTATAGTGAAAAAACTGGTGAAAATTGATTCTCGCCGCTGCTTAACTCACACGCTCTAAAACCCATGTCACTCTCTTTTACTCGCATATTACTTTTATAGAAGAGTTTGAATGCGCTTATGCTCATCTTTCATTGATAAAAGTAGAAATTTTCTAACTCTAACTGGAGCAAGAAATAAGAGGACGCGCTTATCATCGGATTTAACAAGAGTGCATTGTAAGTAACGAGGTTTTAAGGTCTTATCCGAGACAATCTGTCAAACATTAATTTGTAAATGGAATGTGTTACTTACAGCCAAGTCAACTTGGAGTTGTTATTAAAGACTCCAGGTGGTAGCTCCTTGATTTGGTTTCCATATAAAAACCTACGAAACGAACATATGATTGAATATAAGATCTCACCTTAATGGGTAAACGTGATTCCCAGGTGAGTCTAGGTTAATGTGTCCTTTCTAAGATTTTTTATTTAAATTTTAGTTAGTTAAATTAAACTGGATGTGGGTCAAAATATCGTTTAAAATATGTTGTAAAGTCCATTAATGAACAAAAATGTAGCAAATTTGGGAGCGAGGCAAAGTTCAGCGGTTTGAAGAATGGTTTTTTTTTTCAGACGCCTTTTCGGCAACTGCTAAAATTTTAGCTCACCTGCAAGTATCATAGTTTTATTTGATTTTCAATGCAGCCGATCACATGGGCCAGTGGGCAATTAAAATTTGGAATCGAGTTTCGGTAAATAAGCGAGGGGATTTGTTCGATTTTGATCTCAATATTACAAACTAACAATATGTTCTCAAAGTAAGAGGGGGAAGTGGGAAGGAGGAGGTTGGAACTTGTTGACTTTGCTATACTTGTTAACTTCAAATTTCTTTTACACTGGCTGAGTTTTGAACTTTCCATCTTTCGGTAAATTGCGTCTCTCTGAACCTTTTTTGAAACTAGTGGGATTAATAAAATTTTAATAGAAATCCCATCCCCACTAATAACGATGGGGATGGAGTTTGTATTAAAAATATGAAACCAGGCCTTGGTAAATATAGCAGTTGGGATATAGGATTTGGATCCTGCTATTATGAGCTGCAAACTGGCTCCTCTGTAACGCATGGACTTGAGGGTAATTAAAATTTGAAACCAAGATTTAATAAAGGGGGTAAGTTTCTAGAGAAACTGTGTTACATCGTCGGTGGGAGAGTATAGCAAGTAATTTAGTGTTTACAACTGAGTTAAAAACGTCCACTGGCCACCGTAAAGGGTAAAAAAAGGTGACATTTTGAGCGTGAGCCCTTCGTCAGAGCGATTGGAGGAATTGTGGGTCGTGTGTGGGTTTACATGCAGAAAGAGGAGCTACGCTATTGGTGGGAATATGGTGACAAGAAAACAAGAATAAATTAGTTGGATGCGTCCTTGTCATTTCTTTTCACTCACGAAGGCGTAAAGGTGTAAAGTACAAAGCCAAATCCCTCGAGACCTTAGTTACCAGTCACTATCATCATTTATTGCCTGAGTGGGCGGAGGGGAGTAGTCAGAAGATTTGGATTGTGTCGCGATAAAATTTAATTGATCCCTTGTATGAGTCGTTACCAAAAATGTGGTCTTGTGTAAGGAGAAAAACTCCATAAAAGGTGAATATAAATGAGATTTTTAACTATAGAAATCGGATTTCTGGTAAATTTCAAAACAGTGTTTCAAAGCTTAAGGTAAACTTGTCCTTCTAAACAATATTTGAAAAAAAAAATATTCTGAGATTAATATGATCTGCACTGGGAGATGATATGGTCGCAGTTAATTAATACCTAGGAGGCACGGGTTCGAATTCCGCTCGAGGCTTTATTTTTTAAGGCTTCTTTTTTCAATCAGCTGAATTGCAGCACACCTGAAAGGACCATGACTCTATTTCATTTTTCAATCCACAGCTCCAAAAAAAAATATTTCATTGTCAAGAAAAATGAACCTTCATTTTCGACAATAAATTGTTTTTAAATGATTTATTGAACGCACTTCAAAAAATGTCTTAGATATAATGAGCACAATATTCCCGTTAAACCTGACAAAATGCTGGGATATTTGTCCTTGAACATAGGCTGTTCGTTGAAGCTCACAGTTTTTCTCTGGTCGTGCCCCACTCTCAGTTCATTCTTCGGAACAGATAATGTGTTACATCTTCAATTTGTCATAGATTACACCAGCATGGAGGGTGTTGAATAGACGTGGCGTCCATTTCTACTTTTGTACTGTTTCCTCTTTTAAAACATGGTGTCAGAAGTGAGATTCCAATTGGAAACTGGTAAAATTGCAGCTAGTCTGGGAGGATCGTGCTTTTCTTTAATTTTACATCGGCAGCTCCAAAGAATTTTTTTTTTTTACAAATACACAGCTTAAACTTGGGCAAAGAAGAGAACCTTAGTTTTGACGTTATATTGTTTGTATATGATTTAAGTGTAATAAACAAAATATCCCTTTTTGACCTAACAGTGTGTTCTCAAAGTGGGAGGGGGGAGGTGGGAATGTTTATTTTGAGCAGTCATTGTATGAAAAAAAGTCCGAATTGATTATTTTTTCCTAATGATTTCTTGTGTTAGGGGAAAGGTCCATGAAAGGTGAATCTAAATGAGATAAGTAACGATTGAAATCGGATTTCTGGTTAATTATAAAACTGTGAGTTGATAATAAAGGTAAACTTTTTAAAAATATTTTGGGATTGATATTATTACTTCGGACCTGGTGATGATATGGTCGCAGTAAATTAGATTAACATAACGCAATTTGCATCCACCATTGCCCAGCATTTTCCTTTTTAAACAGTGGATTTCTAATGATCCAAATGGGATTTCTATTAAAATTTGAAACTGTACTTTGGAAAATGTGCAAGTTGGGATATAGAATTTGAATCCTGCCACCTCAATCTTAACAATTTTAATGCTTCAAGGGTGTGATGGGATCTCTCTTAGTCCCTTACAAATATGTGTGGTGCAACACGAGAAGAATGTTTTTTCACTAACAACTCTTTGTGAAGAAGTTCATAGCTATTGTAATACCTCTTCCTAAGAACAAATCACTGTAACCAGTCGGAGAGATGTGCTCGAATATGCAAACAAAATAGATGCCCGAAAATTACGGAACTGGTCACCAGCGATAGTTAAGAAATTATAGTGAAGTAATTGGTGAAAATTGATTCTCGCCGCTGTTTAACTCACACGCTCTAAAACCCATGTCACTCTCTTTTACTCGCATATTATGTCTGTAAAAGAGTTTGAATACGCTTATGCTCATCTTTCATTGATAAAAGTAGAAATTTTCTAACTCTAACTGGAGCAAGAGGCTGAGGCTTTATCTTTTGTAAGGCTTCTTTTTTTCAATCGGATGAATTGCAGCACACCTGCAAAGACCATGATTTTGTTTAATTTTTCACTTCGCAGGTCCAAAAAAATTAATTCATTGTGAAAAAAAAAAATGAATCTTCGTCTTCGACAACAAATTGTTTTTAAATGATTTATTGGACGCACTTCAAAAAATGTCCTAGGTAGAATGAACACAATATTCCCGTTTGACCTAGCAAAACCCTTGTATATTTGCCCTTGAACATAATTTGTTCCTTAAAGCTCAGAGTTTTTCTCAGCTCGTGCCCCGCTCTCACTTCATTTTTCGAAACAGGTGATGTATTATGTCCTCAATTTGTTATAGATTGGCCCAGCATGGAGGGTGTTGAATAGACGTGGCGTCCACTTCTGCTTTCGTAGTGTTTCCTCTTTTCCAACATGTATCAAAAGTGAGATTCCAGCCAAATAACACGCTTCCTAGAGTTCAGAAATCAAAATACAACTGACGATGGCGTCCTTGCCAGGACAGGGGGTTGCGGTCAACTCCCGCGGTTTTCGTTCAGGGAAGATCCACGAAGAAATTGTGAAAAGTTTATTCAGATGTTCAAACATTGGTGCGAGCTTAGTGGATGGTACGACAGCGAGCCTCCTACCGAAGAAACAGCAGAAGAAGCGAACCGTGCCTGTTAGGCTAAAGTGGCAGGCAAAAGGCAAAGCTTTGGCAGCTTTCCGTTTCTCCATCGCTGGTAATGAAGAACCCGAAAACCTCGTGCACGGCTTTCAACTATCACAAGCGTTAGCGAAGTAACTACAAACACTTGCAGGTACACTTCATGGCTATTGAAAGAGTTCTTACGGAGATAATATGTCACAGCCTGGAAAGTACGAGTTAAACAACAAAGTAGGAGCCTAGAGTACTGCAATAAATGTGAGCACCAGTTAATATCAGCACCAGTTAATATCAGCAATCGACGACGAGAGACTAGTGTCAAAACTGCAAAATATGGGCCGTAGAGATAAAATAACGAAGGGAATGGTCTTATTTTTGACAACGCTACAGGTAGCTCTAAATTCCCCAAGAACAAGTAAACTTCATAGGCACAAAGACATCCCAAAGTAAAAGTGAAAGGCTGACACCTGTAAATATTGTGCAGGTCTGCACACCCTTGCTCTGTATGCACGGCTTCAAAGAAGCGATGCTCTAAGAAGCGCTGTGCGAGAATCGGACACTTTTCCCGGGCGTGTCAAAAGAAAGCACCCTCTTTAGCCGGACACTCTAAGGCACCAAACCCCAGGGACACCATCTTGGTGCCAGTTCAGGGGAGGAGTATGAAACTGATCTCTTTGAGGTTGATATCAAACCAGAAATATATGTCCAAACTGTCTACAGCACTTCACAAAATCCAAAAGTCGCGGCCCTGAGGCGTTAATTGGCCAGCCCCTTGGAACTGGGTGTGACTTAGGACCTAAACAAATCAATCATGGTGCAGTTAGACACTGCCTCCATATGCAACACGCTACCAGATAAAATTGCTCAATTGTTGATCCCTCTAGGGCAGACAAAAAAAACTATCTTGCTCTCAGCAAAGCAACCTTATTCGCCCATGACAACACTTAGCTCAAACCTAAGGGTAAATTGCAAGCCACTTCGCCTTTCTGGCTTAGACTATGCAAATCTGGGACTGGTTAAGATCCCTGCAGATGAAGTCAATTGACGTGGAACATCACATGGTACCGAAACACTCTCAAACCTCCATCCTGAAGCCTCAGTACAGCTGCCAACAGCCGAGACCTCGCACTCCCGACACATTCCTATGCTACAAGAACCGATACTTGCACCACACGTTTGATTATTTCGCATCCAAACATACTGTTTCCATCCCGCCCTGCTATGATTACTCTAGTGTGGGTTCTTAAAGTATTTCCTGATGTGCATACCGGGTTGGGACAGTTTGGGAAGCCTTTTTCTTTTAATTTAAACCCGTTAGTTACCCTAGTCCATGACGCTATCCACAAGCAGCCGCTAGCAAGACATGCCAAAATCAAAGAGCAGTTTGAGAAGATGGAAAGCGAAGTAAAGATATGCTGACAATATAAGCCAACATCTTGGTGCAGTGACATGACTATTAGAGAAGCAAGGAAAAATTTAGAATCTGTTTAGACCCATCAAACACCATTAACAAAGCAATGAGAGGCCCCGAGAATCTAATTCACATTTTTGGCGATAGATTTCATGTGAAGTGTCATGTGACTTTTGATGTAAATAAACCCCGTAAGTTCAAACATTGGCTCAACTACCCACGACCCAGATTTTGGCTTCGATATTTTGTTGTAGATAATTTCCACTGTGGTCAAGCTTTTCTTTGTTCGAAATTGATTTTTTTCTTTATATTATATGTTTTATTATTTAGTAAGAAAGTTGATATTTCGCTACCGCTAAAGTGGATGCTAAGAATGTAGCAGGCAGCGCTTTGGCGTGAAATAATCAAACTAGTTGCACGTGCATACAGCGATGTATCTGATCAGGTATTTTCAGGGCGTTAAGCTCTTAGATTATCAAATAAAACCCCTCGTTATATCTCTCAAGTAGAACGTGCGTTATGATTAGTCCATTTAGCGCGCCGTATTTCAGTGTACGGCCAGCTAACTTCAAAAGTTTGTTTTGATCGCCAAAATATCTCTTCAAGAAAAATTCCAACAGACTTAAGGAAAAGTACACCAACGAGGAAAACGAGCAAAATTTAGAATCAGATGTCCCAAACTTTCGAGTCGGATTCTTCGAGTTTTTGAGTAGGACAAGCAAAAAAACTCTCGGCAACATTGTTACTTACAGAACGTTTTATCTCACTGCCTTACAGAAAACCTTGGCATACTTAAACTTTTGCTTTCGTGTAATTTTACATTATTCTAAACTATGGGTATTAAACGAATATTTTGAACTTTTGACGTCTCAAAGTTTAGTTTTTATTGGAAGCCAATGAAATGTTCTCGTGCTTAGGATTTGATGCGCGTTAATCATCGATGGCCGTTCCGCTTGAATTGAAATATCTTTTCCCTCCTATTTGAATCAAGAGATATTATAAATATCTTACTAACCTTGTTTTTCTCGGTCCGTACAGTAAGTTGTGGAACCTCGTTTTTCCCGCACACTTCGCGCTTGTGCCATAAATCCGAGCGGAAAAAGCTCGGTCCGTATCTTACCGTACGGCCCTCGAACTCGATTAGTAAGAGGTATGTGTGATGGGAAATTAGTGCTCTCGAATCGCTTTGAAACGCGAGCAAGCCTTGATTCCCTAAATTAAAACCGATTCGTACGTGATGAACTAGTACGATTTCAGTTTCCGAAGTATACTAACAGAATGGTTACGACAAAGAGAGGCGTTTATGATGCTTGCAGAAACGATTACCAACATCGCAATCCTGTCTAATAAACGCAAACGGCGGTTCGTTCAAGTTTTTCCATTTTCCTGGAGCAGTTAGACAAAAGCTGAGAAGCCAAAGGTGGAAAGAGTCATGTCATCGAGGTGTGTCGTTCGTGTGCACGAACGACAGAATAAAATAGAGATCTTAGTATTCCTTTTCCTCGTCCGTTTTGACTTTCTTTAAAGGCTGCTCTTTAACTACATATACATGAACACCCTCTTGTTGTTTTTGTCTTGTTTATTGAATGGTTCGAGGAAGTAGTGTCGTCTTTTTCGAAATTTTGATCCATTGGCGGAACCAATTTTTCAACTGCAGAGGCAATTTCCACGATTGAAGTTTTCAACTATCTGTTCCCTGAAATCCCCCGATTCCTCGAAATATTTTTAAAGTTCTGCCACGTTGATAGCGTTGAAATCAGTTCCAATTTTGTTTACGCTTCTTGTTACATTCTTCGCATCTACTTTGGCGGTAGCGAAATAACAACTTGCTTGATAAATAATCAAACATATTAGACAACAAAGAAATCAATTTTGAGTATAGAGAAGCGACAGTGGAAATTATCTACAACAAAATGTCGAGGTCCTTACACGGGTCGTGGGTAGTTGGCCTAATGTCCGAACTTTCGCGGTTTGTTTACAACAAAAGTCACGTGACATTACACGTGAAATCGAACGCCGAAAAGGTAAATTTCCCGTTTTGAGAAGACTTTGTCACAACTGAATGGTGCAGATTATTTTGTGGTAGGTGATGCGATATCTGGTTTCACCAACATACTTCAGATCACTAATGAAGCTTAGCCACAATCTCTCACACTCCTTTTGGCAGGTACTAGTGGTTACGTCTGCCCTAGCGAGTCTCCAGCGAAACGAGGAATATCAAACGAGACAGCAGCATGCCCTGGCAGGAATGAAAGATCTCTGTAACATTGCTGGTCTGTTCTTAAATATTGATGTGGAATAACACAGGAGGAGGCCGAGAAAGATCATGATGAGAATCTTCACAATTTCCTGCTGCGAATGCAACAAGAGGAACTCGAGCTGAACCTAGCCAGGTAGAGGTCTAAAACCCCAAAAGTGATTTTTACGGGATTCCAGCTTAACCCTGAAGGGGTCAGCCCAGCCCCAACCATAGTAGAAGCAATTTTCAGTATGCCGAATGCTGAATTTCCTTGCAAGGTTTTGTCCAAACTTGAGTGATGTGGTCAAGGCTTTAAGAAAATTCACCCACAAAGACGTCCCCTTCCAGTGGAATGACTCACATGACAAAGCTTTTGTTGAGTCTAAGAAGCTCATCGCTCAGGGCCCTGTTTTGTGTCATTGCAGTCCTCAGTTGGCTTTAATACTTCAAGTGGATGTGTTTAGAGCTGGCGTTGGTGAAGGGTTCTTGCAAAATGATCAGCCTGTGGTGTTTGACTCTAACATCCTACAGGCAACTAAGCAGTGCATTTCACACTCACACTTGCAAATACGTGTAGTGACACGCAGTTTTCGAGTTGCGCGCGTGCAGCCTTTTATCTGCATGCAATTTTAACTAGTTATTAAGTCATGGAGCTAGTTAAGCACGCTTAATGTGTCAATTTTTTAAGGATGGAATTATTTTACACAGAAGTTCAATGTTTTTTGCGGCGCTAAAAGCTCAAATATCGGTCTCCCCAGAGAAAACGCACATCATATCACTAACGACTAAAACGAATGCATGAGAGTGAAACAAACCAAATCAAAGTGCTCTGTGAGCAAACTCGTGAATTGACACATGATTTTGACACATGATGTTTAATGTTATCTGGTTTAGGGAATTTTGTGGTTGATTGTCATATCTAGAGTACGAGCAGTAGTTCAGTGTTCGCTAATGTAGCAAAGAAACAAAGTAAAGTTGGGATAAGAAGGCATTACAATTGAAATGATCATGCTATTACATTTGACAAGGTGGATGATGTCATGTGTTTTAAACGTCTATCATTTTTGTTTCTGGTTCAAAAGAAAAGGTTGGAAGTAAATGTGGGTGAAAAGTGAAATTTACTGTCTTTCGTTGTAAATATTAGAAAATCAAGGCAATACTGTCTTAATAAAAACATTAACGATTCCCTCTTTATCAAATCAGACAAACTGGAACGAGTTTTGAGTGATATAACTTAGCCAAGCCTGCCACCGTCATTTTGGATCTCCGCCTGGGTAGATATAAGTCACGTGCTAGGCAACGTATAATCAATAACAAGATAGAATTTCATTTCAGGCCTATTTATCAATTTTGTGGTTTGTAACTTTCGCATTTTAGTACGTTGTATGTATGTTGAATCTTCAAATTGTCTTGAAACTTAAAAGAAAATTGTTCTTTAAAAATTCACTGAAAATCGGTAGCTAAAATTGTTTGTTTAGATGTTATCTGATTTTCGTGTTAACTTGTAATTTCGTCAGTCGCCGGCATCTTCTGTTGCTTCACACAGGAAAAACACACGCGACGAAACGTAATGATCAATTTTGTCCTCAATCTCATGCCATAACAGAAAAAGCTTTTGAACATCTGTAAACTTCGAGCGCTTCGCAGTAAGTAATATTTTCAACGAATCTTCGGATTGTTTTCGAGTTCAAGGATTGTAAATTACAATTTTATGAAAAACGAAGGTTGTTCTGTTATTTCAGTGTAAATCCTTGCATGCCTGCCAGTCGCTGGCGCCGCTTGTTGAAACTAAAACGGAAAAAAACTCTTTTAAGATTATCATTGGCTTCTTTTTCACCCCACCACTATTCTTAGCAACAAAGGTCGCCATTTCTTCTGTTTACTGCTCGCTAAAAACTATCAAATGCACTCAAAAGCCTAAAATCTAAAAAAGGTTTACAGGAATCGACCAATCGAGCGAGCGAGCGAGCGAGCGAATGCTATTCCCCACATGGTATCTATAACTCGCTCTTGCGCATGCGCGCAATTCACGAGTTAAAAAAAGGGCAAATTTAGAGACAACATAGAGTGATATGCAAAGGTCTCAATCAACTTGGCTACACTAATCGTTTAATTCACACGCTTCTCACAGTCAGACTTGCAAGTGCGTGTAGGACACGCAATTTGCGTGGTGCGCGCCTGCAGTCTTCCAACTGCATGTATTTTCAACTAAATATTTAGTCATGGAGCTAGTAGAACACCCTAAACGTGTCAATTTGCGATCGCGCTCTACTCGAATATGGAATTATCCCAAAAGTATGAACCAGATTTTAAAGAGGTGACTACTAACTCTGTTTCAACCAAGCTGTTTAAGGATAGAATTATTTTACACCGCAATTCAATGGTTTTTGTGCTAAAAGTTAAAAAAAACGGTTTCTGCTGGGAAACGCACATGACATCACTAACAACTAAAACGAATGAAAGTGTGACAGACAAGGTAGCATTATTAGAAGTTCTAAAGGATACATAATTATAGCTGCCATACAATACGTTATAGACAGCTCTGATGTCTCGCTATTCAGCTTCATTTGTTTTCCAAGATAACCTAGCGACTTTGGCGGGTAAACAAAAACTGAGAACGCAGATCACAGTTGCGTAGAGCAATTTTATCAACATGGGCTTTTCTTTCCTTAGCGTGTTCACAATGTTCACGCAACGTTATAGTTAATTTCTAAAACTTTTGAAACAAATCTTACTCAAGGTTCATTGTACTATGGTCTAAGGAAATAA